CTTGCCCTATGTCTGCCCCGATGACACCGTCAGAAACCAGCTGGCAAAGACAGTGAAACATGCAGCAGCTGAAGAACCCAATATGCTCTTAAGACATGAACATTTCTGGTTAAATATGCTTGAGATAGAAAGGAAGAATTATAACAACTGTGGAAAAAATTCATAGTATTAAAAAAATTCGTTTCTAGGAAGATTATTTAAAGCTGCCATCATTCCAGTGACGGAAATATCTGAATGGATAAAGAATAAAAGGCTTATTAAAAGAGTTCTTTCTGTCCTGCCAGAATACACATTATATGCAGGAGTTTTTATTTGCACTGAGGCTTTAAAATTAAAATAAACCATGTAAAATTATGTTTTATTAATACATGCACACACACACATAACTCAGAGGGCTTTACATAATTATATATATGTCTTAATTCTTCTGAGTTTCTTTTACGATATGGTGGAACTAAAATCACACAGCAAATCCTTCAGTTTTGAAGCTCATTTTAATGGAAATTAAGCCTTTGAGTATCAGCTCGCTTTGGAGGAAAGCTGTTCAACAGCTCCATGCTCTGAACCTGAGAAATGCCCCCTATGACCAGGACTGTATTACACCTTCACCTGAGCAGCTGCAGGTTCAGCATTTTGCCTGCAGGCACGTCAATATTGGACGATCGTAATTGTTGCAGCCCTCATTCAACGGGGATTTGAAATAGTGACCTGGACTCCTTCTCTACAGGGCAGACTTCTTCTCCATGTCTCTGTTCTTAGAGCTGGTTACACACTGTTTAAATGTTTGCAGTGCTCTGTGCTCTCCAGTACCAATCCAAACTGCAGAAAATCTTATAATTGACTGATAAATGCCAACATTGCATTAATGCTTTTGTTATATGGGGAGTAAATTCAGTCAAGAGGCACAAAATGCCATTTAAAGCTCATTAACAGTGATCAGTCATTTATGTGTTAAAGGGAAAAAACAAACAGAAGATAAATAGTCTTTAAAACACAGCTGAAATTAATGTTTTTTGGGAAGAAGGATACAATTCTTTAAAAAAAATTAATGAAACGTCGAAATGCTCTTGCATCATAGTCAAGCATGTGATTCACCAGTGACAGCTCCCCAATCAAAATGCTGTTTTTATGCTGAAGTTATGTGTGACGTAACTTCCCCCCAACTGGCAAAAAGTAGCATTTAAAGCTCATTAGCTCAAATCAATTTTAATTTAAGTCCCTGATTGATGTTTTAAAGGCACCTATGGATAAATATTCAAGCATTTTTTAAAGGTTCAATTAGATATTTTTGCCCTGCAGACACATTTTTACTCAGTGTTTGTTGGTGCACAGGAGAACATTTGCCTCCACATATATTTCACACACACACACTCACAAATAATACACCACAAGCTTGCTGCACATGAAATAACATAATTGAAATTTGTCAAGTGCAGATTGTGCGCTGCTGTCGCAGCTATTAACTTCTTGTTAAGTCATCGTTGTTGGTGAATATTTCTGCGGGGACCTTCTAGAGGGAAATACACTTTCCTGTATTTGTTGCTGACAGCAGTGAAAGCTTGACTCTCCTGCGTTATTACCAGGCCCAATGTTTTGCTGAGGAAAATTACTATTCAATCCTCAGAGACGACGAATGGTTGATGGAAAAGCCACCATGGAATATCTGTATGTAGTTAGGTCTCTTCCTTCTGATGCCGCTTTGTGATGCGGTCACAAGCTTTAATTTCAGATTTTCTACATGTTGTTTGGAACGTGTGAGAAGACTTCGGCCGCCTTTGATGTCACTCGTGAGTCTGTGTGTTGGTTCGGACAAAAATTGTGCACCATTTTTCTTACCATCTATTTTCTCGTGCTGGTACGGGTGTGGACTCGCATTTTTATAGTACTTTTCATACAAATTAGACCATAAAGCACATTTAAACATACACTGATTCTCTATGAGTAAGCATTTGGCAACAGTGGGGAGGAAAAACTCCCTTTTAACAGGAAGAAACCTCCAGAACTATCTCTATCGCACCTCACATTTGTCAGTGTCCTGCTCCACTCTCCCTTCATTCACGACCACTCATGAACAAACCCTGCGATACTTGAACTTCTCCACTTGGGGCAGCCACTTTTCACCACCCAGACTACTCCACCATTTACTGTCTGAGGCACGATCTGATATCCTCGTGTTGGTGTTGTTCCCAGATCATCATACTAAAGGTTGTTCCAGGATCAACATTGCAAGTGACCAATCAGAATGTTGTGATGTCATACTTTTGCGACTTCGGGAAAAACCGGCGTAAAACAAAAAACTGTACTTAAGCTGCGAGAAACCGCCTTTGTCCGCCGATCAACGGACCCTGACCCTTTAATAAACGCTAAGCAGAATTGATATTGTCCTTGCAACATTGGAATTTCATAAATGCACGAATGAGTTGGTGCGCAAAAGAATAACGTCGCAATAATGTGATTGGTCACTTGGAACGTTGAACCTGGAACAACATTTTCATGATGATCTGGGAACAACACCAACACGAGGATATCAGATCATCCCTGTCTGAGAGCTGCAGCCTCTGATCCCTTCAGGGATCAACATCTTAACAGGATGGAGGAAATTATATCCTAAAGTGATTCTGAGAACTATGTTATTGGGGCAAGTTGCTCCTGTTAAGCTTTCCCAAAGCAAACTGGTTCTGGGTGAATGGTCAGACTAAATGTGATTCAGAAGTGAATAAAAAAACAAGGAACCACGTCACTCTGCATGTCGCAGGAGTCACAGGAATGGGGCACCAGTATTCCTGTCTCCCACGAGAGCCACATAGGGGCATTTTCCTCCAGCACAGGCGAGGGCAGTCTCATCCGGGGGGGTAAAGGAGCCCACTGATGTATGACAGATACTGGCTCACCTCATCACATGACACTGGGTTTGGAGGCAGTCGTCTACATACAAGGGTTATTCTCTGTGTGTTTGAAGATTTACTTGCTTTTTGAAATGATTGTGGCTTTTATTTTTTTATTTAACTGTGAGTGATTGAATCGGCCCGTTTTTTAAAGACTGAATTTCTCCTCAATGGCAGCCAGAGAGAGAAAAAAGACACATTTTTCTCAACTTTACAGACTTTTCTTTTATTTCTTAAATAAAGTGTGTGGAAACACTGTTGAGATTAATAACCTTCTGCAGAAATGTGTGATTCTTTTAACTACAATCCAACAAGACAGAAGAGCAGAGCTGCTGGCTGACTGAGTGCAGCCGTGTTCAGCTCCCCTCCCCACACTTTCTCCCTTATCGCTGGCCTTTCTCTCTCCTCTTCCTTCCATCCCTCTATCTCACCTTTGGACATGTCCACCCACCTGATCGATCAACTACCCATCTCCTCTCCCCCCACTTCATCCACATAGATTTTCACCATAATAATTATTATTGTGTTTCTGAAGAGGTCCGCTGATCCGGATCATGGCATGGATCTTCTTCTAATCTCCAGAATGTTCAAAGCTTTCATTAAAACTGCCAGAAAAATAACTGTGATGGAAAAATATGACCTCTCTGTGTTGTGTCACCAGGCTTGACATGACCTCTAACAAGCTGAAGAAAATACCTCCAGACCCACTGTTCCTGCGGATCCCGGTGTACGCCAAGATGAAGGGCTCTCCTCTTACAGCGCTGGTGCTGAGTTTTGGCGGGAACCCTCTGCACTGTAACTGTGAGCTGGTTTGGCTTCGCAGGCTGACCAGAGAGGACGATCTGGAGACCTGCGCTTCACCTAAAGACCTGGCTGGCAAATACTTCTGGACCATACGAGAGGTTTGCTGAAGCATTTTGTGCATTTTAAAACCTCATTTTGAAACCTTGCAAATTAACACACTATGATGTTGTTTGTTAACTAAAGCAAAAGCAACATAAAGCACTCTATTTTATTTAAAGTTTTTAACAGAGTCTTAAGCCAAAGTAATTAAAACATAGGTCAGAAATGTAACATTTGCAATTTGCTAAACCTCTACGAGTGTTGATACATTTTTACCTTGATGTCAATCTTTTTGTTGCAGACTCCAGCTTTTTGGCTGTCACCATGCAGCTTATTATAGCCACAGGTCTTATGAAGTGGCCATAGCACAATAATAGTTTTAAAAACATCAAATCTACTCACAGAGCTGTTATAAACGGTTAAGTTAATTAATTGACGAGCATGTAAAGAAGATTTCTGAGACGGTCAAGGCTAATCTGAATTGTTTTAAGTTAATCTGGCACTATATACCCACTTCAGCAGCTCAGTTATTTATGCATTCTATGATATTTTCG